TAAACTCAAAGGGAGGGACATTCTACAGAACATCTGACCAGCACTCTCAAAACTGTCATGATCATGAGAAGCAAGGAGAGCCTGAAAAACTGTCACACTCTAGAGAAGAGTGTAAGGAGATATGACTATAGTGTGATGTGCTGGACGAGAACCTCAAACAGAAAAAGGACATTAATGAAAGAACGGTGAAATCCAAAAAAATTTTTGGAGTTGAGTTCAGAGTAATATACCAATGTTGGCTTCTCCGCTTTGACAAATGCAAGATGGTGACATTTGGGGAAACTGAACCTGGGGAGCTCTGTACTATCTGTGCAACATTTCTGGAAATCTAAAATTATTCCAAAATAAAATTATAGTAGAAAAATAGTTTTATGTTTAACAAGAATTTTCTGATAATAAACACCCTTAAAATATTTGAAATAAACTTTTATTTGTAATAGCCATTTTTAAAGGTTTACAGTGAATTTTCCAGCAGTATATTCATTGCTCTAAATAGCTGATCAACAGGCAATGTGAATCTGCCAAGTAACAAAACTATTCCTGCTATGAGTATCTTTCTAAAACCCTTGGAGAAGCTGCAAATGTGAATGAGTAAACAGAAGACTAAGTGACTCTCTTGTACTGTGGAAGGATCTTAAAATGTTCTTTTGAAATTCATAGTTAGTCATCATGTTGAAGACCAGTTTGTAAGGATTTTTTTTCTTTTTCTTTTCTTTCTTTCTTTTTTTTTTTTTTGGTGAGGAAGATTGGTCCTGTGCTAACCTCTATCGCCCATCTTCCTCTTTTTGCTTGAGGAAGATTGGCCCTGAGCTAACATCTGTGCCAATCTTCTTCTTCTTTGTATGTAGGACACTGCCACAGCGTGGCTTGATGAGCAGCGCGTAGGTTCACACCCAGGATCCAAACCCGTGAACTCCAGGCTGCTGAAACGGAGCACTCAAACTTAACCACTATGCCCCTGGGCCAGCCCCAGGAAGTATTTTTTAATAACAACTTAATTGAAACAAAATTCATATACTATGCAATTCATTTAAGTATACAATTCAGTGGTTTTTAGTGTATTCACAGACATGTAAATCACCAGTCAATTTTAGGACATTTTCATCACCTCACAAAGAAACCCCAAACCCATTAGCTGCCACCCTCCTGCCCTCATACCCCCACTCCAGCCCTAAACAACTACTAATCTACTTTCTACTTTCTGTCTCTACGGATTTGCCTATTCTGAACATTTCATATAAATGGAATCATACAATATACGACCTTTTGTGACTGGCTAGAAGTATTATTTTAATATTCTCCAGCTACACTCTGAAGAACAGATAACTAAAGTACCTTAGAAAAATTCACTTTTATCATTGCAGATATTAAATCACTCATTTTGAAATATAATCTCAATTCCCCACCCCAAGGAATCACGCATCCCATTCATATGGAAACATCCCCCTTCACATTCCATGATAAATGTCGTTGTGTATATAGCAGAGAATAAATGTAGAGTAGTAGTCAGGAGCACAGGCCAGAGAGCTAGACTACCTTCATCAAACGCTAATACTGTCACTGAGCAGCTGTGTAACCCAAGGCAAATTACTCAACCTCTCTGGGCCTTAGTTTCCTCACTGGTAAGTTGGGGAGAATAATGGTTCCTACCACATAAAGGTGAAATGAGTGAATACATGCAAAACTCTTAAAACAGTTCCTAGTACATAGTAAGTACTATACATGTTTGAGTTATTTACTATCATTATCAACTGTGAGAGCCATTCAATACAAACAGTACTGGAGTGTTTAGACGGATCTCCTCTTGACCTCTTGAGCAGATATGATCAGAGACCACTTCAATTATAAGTGTCTTTCTAAATTCCCCAGCCTATTTCTTTCAGCTTTTGGAGAAGGAAGTCTAGCCTGGAAAAAACCGGTAATGTGTTCTTATTCATGCTACAAATATTTATTGAGGACATATTGTGTACCATACATAGTCTCAAGTTGTGTGAATAAAATTAAAATGATCGTTTTCATCATGGAGTCTAGCGGTGGCTACAGATAAACAGTTATGACAGAGATCAAAGAACATATTAATATTCACAACAATGTCACCTCCATTGGACCCTCTAGGAAGAATTACATCATTGTAGAAGGAAACAAGAAGGAGAAATAAGACAAGATAGCATCTTCTGGTTGGTTTTTGAAGAGTTTATAGAAGAAGTTGCTGAGCATGGGGGAGATAATGGGAGTAAGATAAAGAGAGAAAGGATTTTTAAGATGTTTTGCTGAGTATTCAGGTTGTGTTGCCATTCAGGCCTTTTCAATTGAAGTAAAGGGATTGCGGTGAAGATTAAAATACTTTTAATTACCTCAGAATGCACTGTTTCTTTAAATACACACTGCATTTGGGTCTGGGCTATGAGGATCCCGGGTTTTATTTGGGACTATAGACAGTTACAATATAATGCAGTGCTGGGAAAAGGTAGAGAGAGCTTTGGGCATGGAAAGCGAGGTGTATTCCAGAGGAGGGAAAATGAGCAAAGGCAGGAGCTGGGAAGAGCCGGGAATGTTCTGGGATCTGAAAGCAGAAGGGCATGGCTGGAACACAGCGGCATGAAGGCACGAGGCTGCAGATGGGGCTGCCCAAGTCAGAGCCTGCAGGCCCCAGCAGGCCATATTAAGGGGTCTAAATTTCATCCTGTTGGCACTGAGGAACCACCAAGGACTATAAACATTGAAGAGGGATGATCGCACAGTGCTAGTTATTTGCTGGCCCGCAGATCATACTGAGAACCAAGGTCTTTTCATGAACCCACACTCCCGAGGATGAAAAGTTGTAAACCAAAGGGAAATTAGCAAGGGAAGCAGAAGAGAGCGAAAGGTTCCTATAGCTTCCTGGCAAGCAGGGGCTGTCTCATACCTACCTCCTTGCCTGCTGCCAGACCTATAGAGAAATCTTGTTTTGTTTTAATACCACTAGACAAAACTAGAAAATACAAATTTTGCTTTCCCTTTATTTCTAACCATTCATAGCAATCACAGTTGTAAAATCGTTGCTTCTATATATCTAGAGACTAGTATTAACAGCATGGCTGCTCCGTGAAACAAATTGTTTTTCAATGACCCCTCTAGAAGGCAACGGTCATTGTGAAAGGGGGAGAAATTTAATTAGATGGGTGATATTTTCAAACTTAATGTTCCATGATACAGCAATTCAACAGCATGCTTTCGCAATATTTATTCCCTCTACCATTCTCTTTGCAAAGTTTTCTGGTGTTATATAGCATTGAGGAGTGTAATGGATGTGACAAACTACCTGAATCCCTTTCAGGAATAAAAGAGCCCGTACCCTGGCTGGCTCCCGGAAGCACAGCGGCACCAGCAGCTGGCCCTCATCTGTCAGCCCCCTCTGAGGGCTGCCACAGCTTACAGGAGCCAGCTCCCTGCCCTAATGCCATGCTCCTGGCCCCTCCACCATATCCAAGGACTGTCGGTGCAGGCTTCTAAAGGTTCAGCCCTCTCTCCCTGACCTTGGACATCTCTAAGGGGCGTCCTGTCTTCCCCGTTCCCTGCAGGGTTATCTGAGGCTTCTTCTGGATCTCCATCCCAGCTCACCTTCTCACCTTGCCCATCCTTCCTTCGTCTCCACAGGGGTTGATCCCAAGAGCAGTCCCTAATAAGCCCAGAAAAGGAGATATGATCTCAGTCCTCTTTGGGCCACACAGACCAGAAGCAGGACATTTTGTCACACTGAAGAACAAGGCCGGAAGGTATTTTGCAGGTGTTTTACTATCTGGAGGGACGTAAAGGATAAGAAATGAAACCTGAGGGCCCAGCTCCAGGTAGGAGTGTGACTCACGTTCTTGTTTGGCAGCAATGAGAATTTAAAACTACATCATCTGCTATTTTTTCTCTTTCTTCTCTTCTTCCTCTGTCCCTCTATCCTTCCATCTCCATTCTTGCTTCCTCCCCCCACCCCATCTGCCTCTACGCACAAGCCCATTGGGATCTGAGAAGCACAGTGTCCTAGTCCATTGGGACTGCCTACAACAAAATAACAGAGACTGAGGAGCTTAGAAACAACAGAAATGTATTTCTCACAGTTCTGAAGGCTGGAAGTCCAAGATCAGGGTGCCCACATGGTTGGGTGAGGGCCCTCTTCAGAGTCGAGGACATCTCCCTGTATCCTCATGTGGTGGAAGGGGCAAGGGAGCTCTCTTGGGCATTTTTTATAAGGGCACCAATCCCATTCATGACAGTTCTACCTTCATGACCTAATCACCTCCCAGAGGCCCCACCTACTTATACCATTACATTGGGCATTAGGATTCTAACATATGGATTTGTGGGGAACATAAACATTCAGACCATAGCACACAGCAAGGCTCCTGTGGTCTAAACATATTCTCCACCTCGCCAGCACACCTTCCTCTCCTTTATGCACAGAAATTCACCAGGGAAGCCATTCTTCTGGATGATTCAACAGTCAGAAGCATGAAGCTCCTACTCAGATACAGGCATGTTACAAGGGAAAGGAGGCTCTGAGAGCCTTTCCAGATTTTATAATTAGTCTTCGCCTGTTTACAAGGATTCCTTTCTTTCTGGTTTACTCAGGAAAACATCACTATGGAGTAGAGTGAATTTTGCTGAAAGTCTCAAGATGGCAGATAGGACAGGTAAGTTTCAGTGGGGTTGAGGACACTTCGTTGTCAGCCAGAAGGCCCAGGTTTTTCTGCGGGAACGTCCCTTCCAGGGGTATGTGGTGGTGTAGAAAGAAATACCATCCAAAGTGAAGGCAACTGTCTAAACTGTGGGTACCTCAGAACAAACTCTGCTTCCTTCTCAATTTTACCCACCAGCTGGGTTACCAAAAAACCTGCAGCTGTCAGATCAAATGGACACTCTGCCCATTGTCTCACCCAACCTTTGAGTGACATTTTACATTGTGGACGGGCCCTTCCTTTTAGAAGGCCCTCCTCCCTTGGCCTTAGGCACCTACTTCTCTACTCACTTACTTCTGCTCCACTGCAGCTCCTTCTCAGGCTCCACTGGCTTCTGCTCTGGCCTCCATCCTCTCTTTCTTTTTCTCATTTTACACATTTCCTGATAAGAAGTGATGAGTTTCTGAAGAGGGACAGCAGTAGTGGGGACAAACAGGACATACAACATGGAGATTGCTCAGAGGAGGTTTCAACTCACTCAAGTCAACAGTCAAGTCAACATCAGGGGAGGAAGCAGCCCCTGAGCTCCTTCCTCTCCCAGCTTGCCCGCCCCTCAGTCAGAAGGAGAAGCCCCTCCTCAGCATTCTACAGTGCTCTTGGAATACCACTGCAGGCCACTGCCCTTATCCCACGGTCACTTGGTTATGGATTTATTTGTCTGTCTTTCCTGCTGGACTGTGAGGTCCTTGAGTGTAGGAGGTCCCTGGCACCTCCACTGAGGTTGACATACAGCAGGCATGCTGTTACTGAGTAAATAAAGGAATGAAATACTTAATATGTACAAAGAAAAATGTAGCAAAAGTTGCCATATATACTTAAAACAACCTTCCCCAACATGCCCAAAAGCTGATCATGGTATCAAAGTTCCAAATTCCTCATTGACTACAAGAGAAAGGGAAAACATCACCCCCTTCTTCAACTTCTTTGAAATTCTTCTTACTTATAATCATCAGCGTGCTGTTTAGCTCACACCATTCTGCTCATACGAGTTCCAACTCTTGAGCAAAACCCTAAAGCGAAGGTCATTATCTCTTATAGATTTTGATATCAACTACATCATGTAGCACAGTGTAGTTGCACAGAAAATAAGTTGATCAATGTGTTGATTACTCCTGTACTTGGACCAGCAGCTCTAGCCGGGTGGGTGGGCTCCTTTTTATTTCCTGAACTGCCTCCACTCTTTCTTCTTCTGTCCACATTCCACCAGCCAGCCAGCCTGCTCCTTGCCCTTCCTATAATCACCAAAACCCACAACACCCCAAACTCCTCAAACACATTTGTGCTCATTCACATGCCGTATGTCACCCAAATGATCATGTGTTACAAACGCAATATGACCTCAGCTAAACTGTAAGTCCCCGGAGGGCAGAGAATGTGTATTTTTAATCTTTATGTCACTCTCTCCACAATTCCTTTCACCATGCTTGCCATGGAAGTCTTTCAAAAAATATAGAACTAACTAGTTTAAGTTCAATTTTATAAGCCCCGTTAGAAAATACCTCAAACTTCAATGGGAACCATTCTTCTTCCAGAGTTAGCACAATATACTCAGGGGTCTAAAACCTGAATCTGGGCCCTCTAGGCTCCCAGGTAAGGAAAGGGTTTCAGTTCCAGGGCCTGGAGGTGGGGCTGCCTATCTCCTCACCCCTATAGTTTTGGGGTTTGTTTAAATCACTGTTTGGTCACAATCATAAAAGCATTTTTTTCAGGCTTATGACGTATTTTCCCCACTTATGAATGTAATTCATACCACCAATCGATTTTCCTTGAATGAACAATCATAGACCCCATGTCCAAGTTGTTTCATTTTTATCTATAAATTCCTGCACTGCAGCCTGTGGTTGGAAATACTAGACACAAAGATTGTAGAACCCTTTAAGAGGAAATACATTTAAATCATTTCTGCCTGCTCCTTCCATTAAGAATGAGGCTAGCCAGTCCCTTGAATAAAGGGAAGTCAGAATCCCTAAAAACGATAATGTAGAAGGAAGCAAGAATTCCATTCTGCCAAGCTCTATGTATCATGACAAATCTTCCCTACAATCTGTCCTCTCTCTCTCCAATTACCCAAAACACAACACTGCAGAGAGCGGTCACCTCCAGGCCCTAAGTGTCAATGCCATTGCAGGGTAACAGGTCTTTTCTGTCAGGTCTGACAAATGGGCAGCAACTGCAGGGCAGCGACCGCAGGCTGACAGCGTTTGTAAAGAAGTTTTCTAGTCAGGCTCGTTACATTTCACTTCCAGCCCAAACCAGGAAGTCCTCTTTAAGCGGAGCCAAAGACAAAAGCAATCCAGCCTCGGAAACAAAACCCGCCAGGCCCGCAGAAAGGCTATAGGGGTTTAAATTTGAGACTGTTCTTGGATTTGGATCGGAACCGACGGCTTCCTACTCATAAAACATTATTAAACTTTCAAAACTGTCCCCCCTAAAACCCAAACTAAAATGACACAAAATGACAGGCGCGCGCACACACGTAGCACACAGGTACCCAGACACACACACAGAGACCAATTTGTTTTTGTGATCCGCTTCCTTATCTAGACGGTCCACGCTTGGGCCAGATTTGAGTTGGTAAATTCTTCTCCTAGCGACGCTGGGGTAGACTGCAGAAAAGGTGTCCAATTCTCGAGATTCTTAGGGAGAAGCGTCCAGGCGTAGACGGACCACGCCCGGGTCCCGCTCTCCCGTTGCGTAACTGCCAGCTAAGTCTGGGCAAGTCTGGGGAGGAACCCCGAGACCTCCAGCCCCTCCTCTCTGTGACCCGCGGGGAACTGAGCAGTCCTGGGGGGCGGGGAGGGTCTCTGGGTGATGACTCGGGACCGAGGGTGTTAAGTGTCAGGCCGGGAGCCCGGGACCGCTACAGCGGGGGCCGCGGGCAGCGCGGGCAGGAAGGGGAGGACCCAGCGGGGCGAAGGGGGAGCCCCCGCGCGGGCTCGAGGCTGGGTCGGAAAAGCTGCCTCACGGGCGCGCCCGCCGGGCCCTCCGGTCCCTCCCTCCCTCCCTCCCAGCGCTCCCCGCCCGGGCCTCCCTTCCAGTCTCCGCTGCGCCCTCCCGGAGGCAGCGCTCGCCGCGGCCTCGCCATGTCCCAGCCGGGCCAGAAGCCCGCCGCCTCCCCTCGGCCCCGGCGCGCTGCAGCGGCCCGCCACACCCAGGAGGTGAGTGGCACTCCTGCCGGAGCCGCAGTGCTGAGCGCTGGGAGGACCCCGGCCCGCGGGCCGCCTCTTCTGGGCGTAGCCTGCCTGGCCTGTTGCCCCGGGCGCTCCATCCCGGACCAGGGAAGGACCCGGGGCTCAGTGCCTGTGGCCGGACAGGTGGCAGAGGTGGCCGGGATTCCCGGGCCAGGGCCAAGCGCGCTGGGCGTGGCGCGAGCAGGATAGGGGCTGGCCCCTGTCGGGAAAAGTTGTTTAGTGAGACGTGAGTGAAGTGAGGAGGAGATGAAAGGGGAATAAAGTTCATTCGGGACCCCTAGAGCGGGTGGGATAGTTTTACTGGATGGCAGGATCCTGTCTTCCGTGTACAATCGGGGCTCAAGGGCGTGGCTGCCTGCAGAAAGAACACAGCTTCCCTAACCAGCCCCGAGCCAAATCGGGCAGGGCGGGGCCAGACTGGCGGGGGCGGGGCCTGCGTCGGTCCCGCCCAGGCGCCCGCCCACCCGACAGCTGCGCGACTTGCAGAGCCAGCCAGGTCCAGGGCACGCGGAGTGCAAGCCCGGCGCCCCACGCACCGCATCCCGCGTACTCCCGGGTCCTCCGCCGCGCCACTCAGAGCCAAAACGGTTGTCGCCATGGCATTCGCAAGCTGGTGGTACCAGACGGTAAATAGGAGCGATCCTGCCTGGGCAGGACGGCGAAGGGAATGTGTTTGCTTTGCCTTTCTGGGCGTGTTATAACTCCGGAGGAGTTATTGTCCGGGGTTTGGCGGGGTATGGGTGGGGACCGGGTGCGACCTCCTCTCAGACCTTCAGGTTAGGCTCAGGGAGAGGCCGAGACTCACCCTGCTGTGGTATGTGCGAGCGCATGTACGTGTGAGTCGGTGTGAGTTGATGCGCCAGGCTCCGCTCTCGCTCTTAAGTTGAATGGAAAAGGAATTGTTGCTGGAGGAATTCCCCTGGACGCCGGTTCCTTAATGAACTCGGACTCAGCTCACAAGAGCTCAAATCTGGTGTGTGTGTGTGTGTGTGTGTGTGTGTGTGTGTGTTTAACCCACAAGTAAAGCTCAAAACTTTTAGAGGAATGTTGTCGGACGTGCATTCTCTAACGCAAAGGAGAAGCAGCAGCCTGGATAGGAGCCAAGGAGAAAACCCAAACTTCAAGGAGCAAAAGCAACTGAGATCAAGACCGTAGTTGAGAATGAGAGAGAGAGAGACAAAGAAGCGAGCTGCTCTGTACTTTGTTACCTTAGATGAGGAATAAAGATGTTCCATTTGTTTACTGCATTGAATGCCTGTCCAACCAATTAGGTGTGATATCCAGCCAGCTGGCACTTGTAATGTTTTGGAATCAGTAAGCATGATTTAACATTAGATTGCTTTAGATAGACATAAGTTTTGTTGCCAGAGTAAAAATATTTATAGCCCATTGTTTTATGTTGAGAATTTAAAAAAAAAAATGGTTAAGTACACCTCTCTCTCAGCATGTGTTATTGGGAAAAGCAAGGATGCTGTTATCAGGCACTCTTTGGAGAGAAACCTGGTGTTGGCATCAGTAAGCTGTCACTTACCAGCCAATGGCCATTCGCTGATCATCTGCTATGGGCCAAGGCCCAATACTAGCCCCCAAGTACACAGTGGAGAACAAGACCTCTGTCTTGTTCTCCAAGAGCGCTGAGTCAACCATTTGGAACCCGCTTTCATATCTGTAAAACGGGGATGAAATAGGCACCACGTAAGAGTTGCTGAGGACTAATTAGATTCATGAATCAAAGTACCATACCCATATACCTTTCATGATTGGAAAGTCCAGTTTCCCTTAAGCTATTTCTTCGTGAATATTTCCAATTACATTTTCTGGACTTTTAAAATGTACCTTCTTATTGATGTGCCAAAAGCAAAAGTTTACTTTGAGTCATTATTGTTCTAAGGTTCTTATCAAAATGCACCACGTGAATCATATGCAAATATAAATGGCAGTGGTTCAGAGTTGACATCAGACTTATCCTTCCAAATTCATATTTCTCTAAAGGAAATTATGCTGGAATATTTGGATAAAAATAGTTTGTGCTTTTAACTCTGTTATGTTTAGGCATAATCTGACATTTTTGCTAACACCTCTCTTAGAATCCAATTTTGGAACTATTGTAAAAATCGTTTGCTAGTAGGAACCTCCTAGAATCAGCAACATGCCTGCAATCAGGCTTTGGCTTTTCCCAACCCAGTGCTGTCCAACAGAAATATAGTATGAGCCACACATGTAATTTTAAATTTTCTAGTAGCCACATTAACAAAAGCAAAAAGAAACAGGTGAAATTAATGCCAATAATATATTTTGTTTAACCCACTATATTCCAAACATTATTATTTCAATATGCAATCAATGTTTAAATCATTGAGATATTTTACATCTTCTTTTTCATGTTAGTTCTTAGAAATCCAGTGTATATTTTATAATTACAGCACAACTCAATTCGCACTTGCCACATTTCAAGTGCTCAATAGGCACAGCTACAGAATTGGGCAGGACAGCTCTAGACATGGGTCCTGAACTGTTTTTGATTTGTAGTTGTTGGGGGTGATCACAGGCCGTTTTGAGAATTAAAGGAAAGTTATGGACCATTTTCCCAGAACAAAATATACACATTCATACGCAAAAGCCTGCCCATAAATCTATGGAGCCAATTTATAGCATATATGCATACGTTACATTTATACATATGCATATATACATATACTTATATACTATATATAATATGTATATATATGCTTCTGGTAAATCCTATAACTAAAATATCTTTAGCGGGATCCTTTAAATACTGAAAAAGATTGTGAATGACTTAACTTTAAAATTTTAGGCATAATAGAATAAGATAATTATAAGATGTATCCAAGATATGTTTGTTTAAGGGAGGGCTACCTATAAAGCCAGTCAGTGAAACATTACAGTGTGTATTTCCACATTGAATACCATCAATATCATTGATCTTATCTTCTGAAGAATTATCTGGTCATAGTGAAGAAAAAAACTTTGGAAAGTTATATTTGAAGAACATCTGATGAGCATCATAATGATGTAGTATGAAAGAGTGTAAATTTGGTTTACACCAGTAATCACATTCCTGAGTCATAAGTTGACTCAATTAGACCATGTTAATTAAAGATGTTTCTTAGCCCAATTAGACCCACTGGCCCAGTGGCAGCACGATCAAGGAGCCCAGTCATTTGGGAGGCCCCGTCATTGCAGCCAGCTGGGAAGGGTGTCACAAGCCTTCCATGGCAGGACAGACCATTTGGTTGCAGTGACTTTAAGGAGTAAGGAATGCAAATTATAGAGTCTGCAGAAAGGGCACAGGATTTAGGGTGTTGGGAGAAGAGAGGTCAGACACAACTTTGCTCTTTTGGTTGGCAGTTTCTGAATTGGTTTGCTTCCCATTGCGGATAAGACTTTTAAACTAAGAGTAACATCTGATGATATTGTTCTTTAATCAGTTTTGACACTTCCCCAAAAGTTAGATACATTCTACAAGTGCTTTTTAAAGAATGATGTAGCTTGCTGGGAGTTGAAACAGTGGGTGGGCATTTGAGATTCCAAGGTGAAGGGGTGGGTAATTAGTTCTAAGTAGGTTGTCTTAGTGGAATACAAGACTTCTCTAAGCAGCCCATCTTTATTCTGTTTTTTTCTTGACATTTTTATTATTATTATTATTATTATTATTATTGTGGTAAAATATACATAAAACATTATCTTAACCATTTTTTTTCAATTTCAGTGGAATTAAGACCATTCATATTCTTGTGCAACCATCACCACCATCTATCTCCAGAACTCTTTTTATCTTGCAAAACTGAAGCTCTGTACCCATTAAACAGTAAATCCCCATCCAATTTACATACATACATTCAAATACATAGCATTGTATTCAAGTATCTGTGTTCCTTACCGTTTTCTTTTTTTATTATTGTTCTATTTTAAGAAAATTTAACATGAGATCTACCCTCAACAAGTTTTTAAGTGTACAGTACATTATTATTGACTATAGGTACTGTGTTGTACAGCAGATCTCTAGAGGTTATTCATCTTGCTTGACTGAAACTTTGTGCATATTGATTAGTAAATCCCCATTCCTCTTTTCCACAGTCCTTGGCATCCACCATTCTACTTTCTGTCTCTGTGATTTTCACTACTCTAGGAACCTCATATAAGTGGAATCATACAGTATTTGTCTTTTTGTGACTGGCTTATTTCACTTAGCGTAATGTGCTCAAGATTCATCCATGTCATAGCATTTGTCAGAATTTCCTTCCTTTTTAAGGCTGAATAATATTCCATTGTGTACATATATGTATTTACCACATTTTGCTTATTTATCCATCTGTTCGTGGACACTTGGGTTGCTTCCATGTTTTAGCTATTTTTTGAGGAACCACCTTACTCTTTTCCACAGCAGTTGTATCATTTTACATTCCCTCCACCAGTACACAAGGATTCTAGTTTTTTCATATGCTCGCCAATACTTGTCCTACTACCTTCTGACCACCAAGGTTTCTGATGAGAAATCTGATGAGTAATCTTATTAAGTAGCTCATGTATGTGACGTCATTTTTTTTCGGCTTTCAAGATTCTCTCTTTGTCTTTGTCTTTGAACAGTTTGATTATAATGTGTCTTCCTGGGGATTTCTTTGAGTTCATCCTACTTGAAGTTTGTTGAGCTTCTTGGATGTTTATATTCATGGCTTTCATCAAATTTGGAAAGTTTTAGATCATTATTTTCCCAAATAATCTCTCGGTCCCTTTTTCTCTCTCTTCCTTCTGGGACTCCCTCAATGTGTATGTTGGTCTGCTTGATGGTATCCCTCAGGTCTCTTAGACTCTGTTCACTTTTCTTCAATCATTTTTCTTTCTATTCCTCAGACTCAATAACTTCAGTTGTCCTATCTTCAGGTTTTCTCATTCTTTCTTCTGCTTGCTCAAATCTGCTTTTGAATCCCTCTAGTGAATTTTTC